AAAAAAAAAAAAAAAATAGGTATGTAAGGTGAATAACATAGAAAGACAAATGATATCCAAAACTTGAATACAGTTAGAAGATGAACGGCCATAGCTTCCACAAGGGCCACACAGAATCGATCGATTCGATCCGAAATCCCCCAGTCTAAATGTGTTTTTTTTTTTTGTTTTTGTTTTGTGTGTTTGTGCTTTGCCTTGTTGTTCGGTACCCTCGTCCGAAAAAGAGGACCTCGTGATGTACATCTCATTTTTAATTCCATCCGAGCGAGTTCTCGGCCATCACAGGGGCACTGATCATCTGTGTCCGTCCGGTGCCGCGACTGTTGTTGCTGTTACGTGACATACGGCCACCCGCTCCGAACAGAGACGCCCCGTTCCGGCCCTCGCTCATCTGCTCGACGTTCGAGCTCGACCGCTGGTGCAATTGACGCTTCTTGCGGTAGCGACGAGCCACCCAGAACATGCCCGCACCGTAGGCGGCGGCTCCCGCCACGACACCAACGCCAATGCCGACCGAGCTGGCGTGAGTCGAGCCGCTGCTGCTGGCACCCGCATCCGAGTTGGGGTCCGACTGGCTGTTACCGTGGTCGCCGCCGCTGTTGCCGTTGGACCCACTCGAGCCGGAAGATCCACTGCTGCCCGAGGAGGATCCAGACTCACCCACCACCAGAGGAATGGAAGGATCGACCATCGACATCAGAGCCTTGGCGGAGCCATCGTCCTGCTGGTAGAGCCGCGAGTTAGGGTTGTTCAGCATCTTCTGCAGCCCATCCACCTGGTCGGTGGGGATGTACGCCATGGCCACGGTCGCGATATAACCCGTGCTCTTCGAATTGTCGTAAGGCTGGATCGCCAACATGGGCACCTCCTTTCGGAGAATCTCCAGCGCGTACTCAAGCGCAATGGGAATGTAAAGGAAGATCTGCGAGGATGATAGCGGCGTCGTGGCCACAAAGCTGTAGCGAAGCTTGCCGTTGAATCCCAACTGAATCAGGGTAGAGTCCGCTGGAGGTTCGACGGGAACGTTGCCGGGAGAGATGGACCCAGGGAGCTGGGTCTGAGTGGACGTCGTCGTCGCCGTGGTGTGGGTGGCGGTGTTTTGCGTCGTCGGGCTGGGAGGCTCCACCAGAATGGTCGACGGAACCCAGTCCGTGGCATCGCTCGTCGTGGTAGGCTCCGGGGTGGGAGCGACCTTGGTCGTGACCGTCGACTTCTCCGTGGTACTGGGCTGTTCCGTGCTCGTCGGAGTCAGGGTAGTGGAGGAAATCGGAGTGGGTGTGTTTGTCGAAATCGGGTTGCTTTGGCTCGTGGGCAGGTCGGTGGGCTTCGAGGAGCCGATGAGAGGAGTCGACGAGACAGATGAGGGTAGAGACGAGCCACTGGAGCCAGTCGAACCGGTCGAAGGAACGACACCACTGGTCGACGTAGGAACACCCGGGCTGATGAGCGAGCCGGACGGTCCATGGGTGAAGGTCTGCGTTCCGGTGGACGCTCCTGGGATGACGGGGCTGGATGTGGTGGAGCCGCTCGATCCAGAAGCTCCTGGAATGACGCCGCTGGTGGGTATGCTACTGGGTTCTGGGATGACTCCCGAGGACGTGCCAACGGAGGGCGTGGGCGTGGCCGGCGGGATACTGATGGAGATTGTCGGCAGGATACCCGAAGAGCTCGTCAGATCAGTGGAGCTTCCACTGGCCGTGCGAGAACCCGTCTGTGCGGTCGACGTTTCCGAACCGTTGGCCGTGGGTGTGGGAAGAAGGCCAGATGGAAGCCCAGTGTCCAGCAATCCGGAGGAGCTGGCGGCGGAGGGTGACAGAATGGAGGACAACAGACCGGATGGCGTCGGGATCACATCAATCGACGTGAGCTGGCTGGTGGACTCCGATGAATTGCCCGTGTTCGTGGGCAGGAGACCCGGCAAGAGTCCACTATCCAATAGGCCGGAGGATGTGGCAGCCGAGGGGGAAACGACCGAGGAAACCGCCGACTGGGTCGGAATGACCTCGATGGACGTCGGGTGGCTGGAGGACCCGGTCGCTGAGGAGCCTGCCGAGACCGTTGGGATCACCTCGCTCGAGGTCGTCTGGTTCGCAGACTCCGAGACACTGGACGTGCTCGAGCCGGACAGGAGGCCGGACAGGAGTGAATTGACCAATCCGGTGGTCGACGAAGGCTGCTCGGTCGAACTCGCCACACCGGTCTGCGAGGGCAGCACGCCCGTGGAGGTGCCCTCGGTGGTGCTGGCACCCGTGGCCGAGTTCGACGGAACCACAGAGCTGGCACTCTCAGAGCTGGACGAGCTGCCAAACAGGCCGCTTACCAGATCACTCAGCACGTTCCCAGTCTTCGTGGGTGTCGTAGACGGGGTGATGGCCGTCGTACCAGTTTCCTGCGAGGACCCGACTGTGTTCGAAGACGACGCCGTGGTGGTCTCCTCCGCCGCCGGGGTAGATGTACCGGGTTCCTGCGACGATCCAACCACGTTCGAAGCCGACGCCGTGGAGGTGGACGATGACTGGGACACCGATGGGGCGCCAGACTCGCTCGCTGACTCCGACGACGTGGAGGTGTCCGAAGGCGCCTGGGATGGAGTCGAGCCTGTGGTGGTCGCTGAGGCGCTGGCCGCGGCTGGCTCGGAAGTCAACACCGAGCTCGTCACGGTCGAGGAAGAGGCAGTTCCCGTCGGCGTTGGCGTCAACGTATGCGTCTTGCCCGCCTCATCGACGGACAGGGTGATGACAACGACCTCGGGCGCTTCCGTCGGTGCCGTGGTGGCTTCTTGGAGAGGCTGCAGAATCGAATCGAGGACGTTGGTGTTGGACCTGGGCACTTCAGCGGTCTCGGGCGCCTTGGACGACGCTCCAGGGGCAGCCGATGTTTGGTAGTTGATCAATCTTTTCATGTGTTTCGCCATGAATCGAGGTTTCAGCGTTGGCTCCTCGGCCGCGCCTCGAGCTGCAACCAGCTCAAGACCGCCGAGCGAGAGCAACGCCGTCAGTAACGACGCTGTCTGGGCGACCATGGTGTAGGCGTCAAGAATATAATCACCGGTGGGAGGGAAAGAGCGGTAAACAGTCGTAATATAGAAGGAATGGACAGAGCGATAGCTCAAGCGGGAGCTTCCAGATCCACCAATGCAAGATCACGCGTCGATTGTCGAAGTCAAAAGCGTCGACGTTGCAGGCTCAGAGATTGGGTGGCTGGGGGCGATGGTGAGGGGGTAAATGCGACACTACCCCGGCCTCGTCTTTTCCGTTTGATGTTGTCTCCGAACGAACCCCTCGAATGATCAGTTCGTCCACGCAGAGGGCTGGAGCGTAGTTCCACCAATGGTTCCGATGCGACCGAATCACCAATGCCAGCGATCACTCTGCGACAAAACGTCTCGACGGCGAGTACTGGGAACTGCAGTGACAGCGGGTCGATCGAGGACTGGAGCCGATTCGTACGGAGGATTTAACGACGGATCTAAACTGAAAACAACAACGCGCAGGTTAAAGAGCGGCAAGGGGTCAACCCGTCTGGTCGGAATTCCCTTTCACAGCGCAAGCAGTTAACGAACGTCGGTGGTGGGAGTAAGGAGCGAACGACGAGGTCAGAAACGGGTAAACGAATGTGGTGGGGAAGTGGTTGCTCGAGTCGACAACGTAAAACAATATTCCTGGCGGCGCGACGAAACGGCAGGCGAAGGAGGTTGTACTAATTATTCCCTCTCGGTCGATGCAAGGAGACGATGGTGGATGAATCCCCAAACAGGCCGTTGACGTAGAGGAGAAGCGGAGCGATCAATGGATCTTGGGCTACGTCAACGACAGGATCGCGCGTAAAACCATCCAGAGCAGCAGAATGGGGGGAGGGGATGGTGAAGACAAGAATCCAACCACCAGAAACGAACGAAAAAGAGAGAGGGAAAGAGAAAAGCAAAAAAAATCAAACACCAAATTAATGACAAAGGAAGGGAAGGACTGGGAAAGGGAAGGAGAGTGAGGAGGGAGTGAGTGAGCGAGTAAGTTCGTGTGGTGTGCTCAGGGGGCCAAGAGGGAGGAGGCCGTGGAAATACGACGTCAGCGTCAGCGTATGGACGATCGGACCCACCGCCGTATTATTATTAGTAGTAGTACTAGTAGTACTCCGTACGGTGTACCGTGTACTGTGTGTAATTGTACGGGTACGGATCCTCTGTCGATGTTCGTCCATACTTCCTCCGTACTTACTACGGACAGTATATCCTCCTCTTCCACTGCCTACGACAACGGAGGAGCGCACAATTCAGGGTATCACCAACTCCCTCTGCACTGGATTGACTGCAGAGATGAGGAAACAGAACTCTCCCGTGTGACCCTGAGGACTCGACGGTGCGATCATTCGGTCGGGTTGGCGTTCCACGACGACTGCTCGCACTATCGAAGTCAACTGCGATAGTTACCCTGACAGGCATGATCCTCGAGCATGGACCCCAGGACGAGCATTCATGTCTCCATCGCAGAAATTAAATTGACCACGGTCCAGCGGGTGGAAATTAATCACCGTCTTCATCGAATGAGTTGTCGCTTTGAATTCCAACCGTTCTGGTCAGAGGGAAATCCCCCTCCTCCCACGTCCAAGAAGTGATCCGACGTTGAGTCGCTGTTTTACCTGGCCTTTTTGTTTTTCGGTTTCTTTTCTGTTCCCTCTTGTTTTTTTATCTTCTTCTTCCGTGCGCATTGCATCGGTAGCTTAGTAACAATCCAAAATAAAATCCAAAGTAAACAAGAAGGGTAAAAAAAAAAAAAAAAAAAACCCATTCTTGGAGCGGTACAGTCGTACGGAGGGGTGACACTGGACCAGGATGCTGATCAGGTGTACGCTGCTCATCGTAATTCCCGCCTTTTTTTTTCTTTTCCTTTTTTTCCAATAATTTCCAGCCTCTTCAGTCAAGGTTCGGACCATTTCAAGGGCTAGACCGACGGCGTCCACTAGCGCGTTGCGTGCCTGGATGATTGTGGGGTTTTCTGCTTTCCTTTCCTGCCGGTGCGTGGTCATTGCCTCGCGGGTGACACGGACAAAGAGAGGAGTTAGCCGCCAGTGCAAGTACGCTTGATTTTGCTCGTCGCCCTATTTTTAATTTCCAATGCACATGGGACGTGGTACAGGATGTGTGTATGGATGTTGGTACATGTACGGTCACATCGGTACGCTGTTACCAAAGCACAGTCATCACGCTCAACGAAAAATAAAACAGAATGTACAGAGTAAAAACAGCAACATCAGCAAGTCCCCGTCAGATTGGATTTGGCCCCCCCTTTTTTTTCATTTTCTTCTTCCCTCACTCAACTCGTGAGTTCTCTTCTCACGCGACGTCCACCTTGCCACGGTCGCATCAATGCCTCTGTGGATTCATCTGCCGGGCGCCTGCTACTATAATTACGTCGGATCTCTGCCCTAAGCCTCCTTAGCCGGAACTTAGTCAAACACAATGGACCTCGTTTGGAAGTCTGTCCTCGGTAGTCCCAGAGACCATCCAGCGGCGTCGGCCAAGACGACTAGAACGGTTGCCTGGACTGAACTGCCCAGTGTCGGTCTTCACACCACGTGCGATCCTCTTGTCATGACGGACGGATATGATGCTGATCCTGCATTCCCCCCTCCCCTCTCGCATCAGACAATTTCCACTGCCGAGAGGCATGAATGAGGGCAGTGTCACATCTCCGGAATGTGACAAGCGAACCAGTCAGATTCATCCGTGAACCAACGGGGCTCACGTCAAGGCTGAAACACTGGTACCCCCCTTGACTCCGTTCCCCTCCTGTCTCAGCAGAACCAAGCCAGAGAAAGAGAAAAAGAAGAAGAAAAAAAAAAGAAGAGGAAAGAAAAAAATGCGGTATTCCACACGATCCCAATAGGGCAATCGTGTCTCTGCGCCCTCCCTCTCTTCCTAAGAACCAGAACCAGAACCAGATACAGGGTTGGCGTTGTCCACCAGAACCTCAATTGGTCTCCGTGCACTGCCGACCGACGGTTGTTCTCCTTCCCTCAGTGCTCGTTTTTGGTCCTGATCGACGAGAGTCAATGCGTCGATACGCCGTTCAGAAAGGAACTCGGATCATCGGAGGTTCTCATCCCGGGCGGTGCATGCATGCATCATGCATCATTGGAAGATGAGGTTCCCTTTTTGGCTCAAGAAGGATCCCAATTCTGCGTTGGTCTCAATAGTTGGGAGACTTGTGTCGTGTATCGACCACTGTAAGGCGTAGTATTCTTTCTTTTTTTTTTCGAATTTGCGATACTCTCCTTTCTGGTCCCAATGCGATGTTTATTTCCCCAGCCCGGCCGACCCAATGGCACGAAGACGCTAAGCCTGTTCCTGGCGAGCGCCCCATCGCAGTCCCGTGGTTCATTGGTCGCTTACGGTATGGTGGTTTCAGGTTTCCCGGGTCGTCATTGGATTGGTTGCTCGTACCGTGGTATGGATGTTGTTTAATTTCATCCCGCAATTTCCACGCTGTGGGTGATTTGGCTTGGCGAGGAGGATGAACTCGTACAGTACAGACAAACAATGAATCAATCCATGCATCTCACCAGTCACACAATTGCTACATAGCCACGAACCATTCATTACCGTGAGATCTCTCTGTCTCTACCGATCGCTATCTCATTGTCTACCCAGTGGTATGGAGAGTTCACCCACACGCGACGATACACTTGATCGACCGCCACCGACCCTCCTCTGATGAACTCTAAGCTCCAGAGTTTGGATCCCACAATGCGATTGACTCAGAGACGAGAACTCCCTGCAGTTCTCTTCGTCACCAGGCCCGTACACTCAATCTCAACATCCGTTCCCAACGGCAACGTCTTGACAGCCACACACGTCCGCGCCTCGAGATCAGTCAGCACGCGTATCCAATCCACTCCCCACGAAAGCACGTAGCAAAAAGCAAAAACCAGCACTCACCGGCTTGGGATCCTGGAAAAACGTCTCGTAGACTTCGTTCACTGCTGCAAAATCCCCCATGTCGGCCAGGAAGATGTTCACCTTCACCACGTCCTGGAGACTCGAACCACCCGCGGTGAGGACGGCGCTGAGGTTGCGGAGGATTTGTTTCTAGAATGCATGAGTCACCCTTCCGTAGAGAACCAGATCATCTCACGACGAGAACCGTACCGTTCGCTCCTGGATGGGTCCCTCGACCATCTTTCCCGTGCTGGGACTCACTCCCACCTGTCCCGAGCAGTAGACTTGCGAGCCGGCCACGATGGCCTGGGAGAGGAAGGACGGCGGCAGAGGTGCGTCCTGCGTGCGGACGGGAGTTCGGTTTGGCTTCCACATGGTTTCTTGTGTGTTGTTCCCTGTCGTTGCGCTGGGGAGATCGGTCGATGAAGGACGGAGTCCTCCATGGGGATGTGCGGTCTTGGCTGGATTGATCGGGCGGGGTGGACCCACTGCACATGCGGAGGGTCCAGTAGACTGATGCCGTTGTTGAATTGTCTATCAAGACATCGTCGGTAGTGTGATGCCCTCGGGATGTCGGTTTTGGAGGGGAAGACGAGTAGTCGTGGGTGTCTCTGGGTGGTAGAGTTACTTCAAACATGGATGGAAGTCGATGTCGCATCTCCAGAAGGTATATATCTCCGCGCTCCGTTACTTATATATACAACCAACCACGATAGTGTCCAACGCCTGTATCCTCGAGGAATCAACGAGAAAATGGGTATCCTCACCCGGACCTCTCTTTTCAAACTCCTATCAGAGAAATCTTCCGTTGGCGATCAGGGAAAAAAGAGGCAGAGGGAGAAACTACGTCGGGAGAGCTCCGTCGTTGCCGTTACGTTGCCGTTATCCTTATGAGTCTACTTTCACGTTACGTTCTAAATGAAGCCAGCGTCTTCTATCGAGCTCTCGCAACATATACTGTAGAATCATGCAGACCTCTCGGTAGCTGCCATCTATTGGCACAATTATCGACAGTGTCATTCAGGATCGCGCAGATGAACGCGCACAGCAGCATGCGCAGCCCTTCCATTCACTGTAGACTCGACCAACCCATTCACTGCCCACAACACTGTGCCTGGGTAGCCCACTGAATCCGCACCCATGGCGACTTCATCCTGACTCGCATCATCCACCATCGTTCTCACTACCACGTCACCACGTCAGTTCTCCCTCATGGAGCTAGACGAAACGGATCACAAAGGAGCTGCTGCGAGCATCGCAGGCCAGGGTTCGTCCGACACAGCAGCCCCGTCTGCAGATCAGAAAGTCGTCGAGATCGAAGTCCACGGTCTGAAGGCGAGGATCTTCCTGAACTGTCCCGAAGAAGACCTCATCCCTTCTCGATACCTCAAAAAAGCCCAGCGATCACGTATGTACATGTTCATCACCCGTCCCTAGCTATTGCTCTCCACATACCTTCCTCAACTCGTTCACCGCCATGAAATCATAAACCCCAAGAAGAAAGAAAGAAAATGAAAAAAAAGGGGAGAGAGAGAGAGAAAGCTGAAACCGAGGTCAGTATTGACCATTGTTAGCCGTTTCGCAACGCACAATCTGGCTCTTCCGTCGTCAACAGAACGCGCGCCAGGTCAATCTAAACCGGTGGTCGACGGTCGACATCCGTTTCCGAGGGGTGTTTAAGACCCTTAAGAAGGTACCGCTCTTTCGCAAGGGCTTGTATGAGGATGATGCAGGCCATGGGGATCCTCCGGCGCGGGGATACGACTTTGCCACTGCCGTTAGGGCCCAAGGACAAGTCGTCTATGCGCTCCTTGACGAGATCCTGGGTGCCTTGAGCATCACGCGTGAAACAGAGGATCCCGAGTCTTATTTTTATCTTCGGTAAGCTTTCCCTTAAGCTCAGCCGTTTCAAATCTCCCCATCCGCTCCCTGGAGTCGTAGACTTCCTCTCCATTTGTGATGGAGTAAAATGCTGAATCAGGGCTCACGGGCAAGCAGTGCACGACTGCTCAACTGTCAATTGGAATACTGGACTGGATATCGCGAGAAGTATAAGGATGCCCCGATTACGGCGGGATTGCTAGCCCTCGAGTATTACCCGGAGCAACACTCTACGCGTGCGGTTCTCCCTGTTTCTACAGTACGTCCTGCCTAACTCTCTGTCGTGTGCATTGCATCCCAGCGAACGTAACTAAGCCCAGGGTTCTCTTACAGACAACAGAGAAGCATGAATTGCTGGAATCAGCCCTGGAAGGAAAGTTTAAGCTGCTGCTCTCGCAGTTGCTCATGAACATCCACCGCTTGCACCCCCCTGGCGACAAGTTCCCCGACCAAGAAGTGTTTCTGATCGGCCTGCACGGATCTCGGTTGCATATATTTCGGGGTATCTTCCCCGGACACAAGACCTCTCGGCTCTGGAGCGGCCGGCACAACGCATCCGGGACCGACACGGAGATGAGACGGCTCGTTGTCAGCAATGCCAACCAGCGGTTCTACGGCCGGCAGAATCTGGAGCGGTTCATGCAGAAGGTCGAGTGGTTCCAACTGTCAACCTCTGACAGCGAGCCGGACCCGCGCGTCTTTCGAATCCTGGGGAGTAAAGAGTACGATCTGTGGGTCGAATCGGACTTTTACGCTGCGCTGCGCTTGCTGGTGGGCTTGGTCATGTATCTGATGAGCGGACGCGCACGGTGTGGCATCCTCCAATATAGTTTTAGTTGCTCGCCGTACGACGAGGATGACGAGCCCGACTCGGAGGATGAGGAACTGCGAAGGAAGGCCGCGCAGGAGGAAGAAGACGTGGTCTCACAGGAACAGAAGCTGAGGGCCCTGAAGAGGCAAAAACGGGAGGAGGATCAGGAGCGGTTCTGGAGACGAGAGGCAATGCGATCATCAACCAATGACCGCATTGGAGGATTCAAGGATTTTCGTCAACCGTGGTGGGACTGGGTCTGGGAGGACAAGCATGATGATGGATGTGCTAAGGATGATGCCGACGTGATTTTTGAAGGCCCTTAACCGTTGCCCATCATTTGGTCAACAGATGAGCCGCTGTAAGACGGTCCAGTGGGGGACAAAGGGATCTGAGAGAAAGATAGACGCGTCCCATTCACAGCAAAACTGAGATTGTTCATGTCTACCTGAGAGAAGCTCGTAACATCCCATGTGCAGTTACCACACATAATCCACAGTATCACTCCACAGACGTCCTACTCGCGATCCCTATGCCGCCTTTCGGATTCAAATTCGGTGAACCCATCAATACCTCGTCCATCCTGTCCACCGGTTCGGAAATACTCGCTGACAACACCCAGGGCATAGCACGTTGCTGCCGTGGCAAACCCACCGATGAGCATCCGGCGTAGGATTGTGCCGATTCTACTTCTGCTCTTTCGAGGAGGTACATTGGTCTCAGAGCAGCCGGAGCCAGATACAGGGCTCGCGGTATTGGCGGTATTTGATCGACATGAAACCTCATCGCTGAGCAAGGGTTCGTCTCTCACATAGGCACCAAGCTCGCTCTTTGCGTTCTCCGCGAGAGCCTTTTTGAACACAAGTATATCTCCGCTACCCGAGACGATCTCATAGCCATCGACTTGCATCTCTTCAAAGTATGGCAAGAACTTGGATGGGTTATTCAAGCGGGGAAGAATTTCAGATGGGTGAAGAAACTCGTGCGTCGTATGAAAGGATGAGTTCGATTCCGCTCGTGTGATCTGCAGGGTCGAAGGATCATATGCTAAAACGCGGTAAGTGTCGCCGATCAGAGAGCTGCCTGCGGGGGCCGGGGTGTTTTTGCGAGCTTGCTTGCCAGGAAATGATGCGTCTGTGTGATCTTCTTGCACAGGCAATCCAGAGTTATTGGAACTATCTTCCTCTGACTGAAGTTGAGTCGTACTTTCCAGCATGGCGGGCCCGCTTCTTGTTGTTCCGTTCACTGACGATGCAGGCACAGGTTCTTGAAACCTTGCTCTCACATCTTCAGCCCTGACATCGCTGACAGGGTCTACATAAGAGTCAAATGCAGTATCCAAGTCTTTGCGCGTCTTGTGCCGCGCCTCGGGATCTCCCTTCAAGCTCTTTGCGTTATACAACGAACGGATGTCGCTAGCACGCAGGAGGTCCAGATCCTCTGCCATTTCTTCCCTTAGCCGTGGTTCCTGTTGCTGAGCTGGACCTACAACTGCGGAGCTTGCGGGTTGATAGTGGCCTGGGTTGAATGCCGGAAATCTGGAAGAGGTTTGATCTTCAAGTCCATTCGCTTGTGTTTCGTGGTCCGAATCGAGTTGTGCTTTCATGGTGCTTCTATGACGTTCCACTTCTGATGTCGGCCGTTCGAGGGAGTCCTGATGTGGACGAGGTTCACCGAGCGTAGCCCCGTCTGAGTTCGTGCCCGCTTGTCCCAGAATATATGATGGATCTGCCCGATTTTCCTTCACCGACTCGGAACCCTGGAGTGTACTCGCACCATCGTTTGGATGCTCGTTCGCCCGATCGACAACAGAGAGGTAGCCGGTCCGGTTCTCATGCTGCGTGCGTTTCCCGACAAGGGTGTCCGAAGATCCTCCGCCACGTGTCTCAGCGGCGTGCTTGGATGATTTCTTAGGAACCATACGACCACGAATGGGATCATATTCAACGTCCTGCACATCCCTGTCCTGAGCAACGTGACTGGTTCTATCAATCTCGTCTGGTTTGCCCATGCCGAAAACCGAACGACACACTGACATAATCCTATTCTCCATGTTACTGGGGAAGCTCAACGGCTGAAGCCTTCTCCCGAAAAGAGCTGTGTATGGATCGGTGGCGATTTCTTTCCGAATCTGCTCCATCCTCTGCTGCATACGGGCACTTTCCGCTTCCCAGAAGCTCATCTGAGGGCGTGCTGCATTCTGTGCGGATCCCGGGGTGCTGGGTTTGGACCTCGTCTCGTCCCACGTTGTAGTCCACCACGGGTGACGGTAGTGGTGTTGATGACCCCATACTGCTGGGGCTGGGGCTTGTCGTGGATGAACAGCTGGTGTGCCACCTGATCTTGATTGAGAAAGGCGTTGATACCGGGTTATCCGTATCCGTGTGTGGGCATCGGCGTTTCCATATCGTTGGCAAGAACATCCCCCTAGTGTTCGGACTTGAGTGGAGCTCTTGACGACGTGGGAGGAGAACGGGTGTGGAGTCGGGCTCGCCGATAACGATCTGGTAAGTCTTATCGCTCTCGGAGTCGACAGCGGTAGCGGGTACAGCATGGTTGCAAACAAATAGTATCACATTACAGGCCAACTAAAGTAGAAAGAAGCAGAGAGCGTCACATCCCTTGTAGCAATCGATGACGTGGGGGGAGAGAACAGCAATTGGACGACAAAGGCGGAAGAGAGCTTGGAGTGGGGTCATCTGATTAAGGTTGGCGGCCTGAGGCAGACAACCCCTTCCATATCCTCCGCACTCCGCACTCCGCACTCCGCAGGTGGACCATATGTACATAATTCTTTAGGATCACAGCTACCAAAACCCATTTTCTCGCCTAAAAAGGCCACGAGCATATAATACGCCCCTCTGGCAACATTCAAAGAATAGATGGACACAAAATTGCCTTCTACCCACAGCATGTCAACTCCTCGCACAACGTTCCGCATAGCACTTGGCATTTCTCCAGCGATCTCTTGCGTAGCTCCTGCATGGTCTCCGCCGATTCATGCTCCGTAGAGATGGCCTCCACCAGGGGACACATTTCCGGCTGGAGTGTTGCTGAATGGATACCGTACGCATGAAAGCATTCATTCATGGTCTTGGTCGTTTTCGCAAAGTTCTCCACGGACGGATCGGAGACCACGACGTGGACCGATGCCAGAGTCTTGTGCTGATTCAGACGCCAGATGTGAAGCTCGTGGATGGCTAAGACACCAGGTACCTATGCGCATTGATCAGTATTGAAGTCCAGAATGCGAAGACGGTTCACGAAGATGGCTTCTCTGGATACTAATCCTGAAGCAGGAATACGTGCCTTTTCCAGATCATGTTTCACGTCCGCCGGATCTAACCCGTTCGGAGCGCTCTCCAACAGAATAAGACCAGATCGTCGCACTGTACATAGTCTTAGCCGAGTCCCCACGTAATCTAAGATGGGATCAAGATACCGAGAGGAAGTGAAGACAGCATAATCATCATAGCGATCCCCATACTCGTGCCTGGGTCTGCATAGTATCTGCCCTCATAGTGTGCCAGCCAGATCACCAGGGCTGCAGTCATGACTCCCAAGTTATTGGCCGCATCGCTGACCACGTGGAGCAAAACACCTAGCATTCCCAAGTCGTGTCCCAGGGAGGTCGGTTGTGTGCCGTGCAATTGGTGTTTGTGATTACGATGCTGCATGGTGGTGATCGTCAGTAATCATCATCACATTAGGATCAACTTCACACGAACGAACCTCAGAGATATCTGACTCATGGCTGGTAGGTGGAATAGGGGACAACGGTGCTGCCGAATGTCCATGATGGCCGTGACCGTGGTCATGTTCTGCCCATCTTTCAGTCTTGTATCACAACCGAGCAAAGCCCTCTTTACCAAAGACGAGACGCACCATGCAGGAAAATTGCGCTGATCAGATTCAGACCCAAACCCACCGCGCCCATCATGAACATCAGCTTCGGATTCTCCACGTCTAACTTAGATCAGCGGTGACGTGCCTGATTCGACAGGAAGACCAACACTGCAACGAAATGAATCGCTCTATCGATTGTAGGAATACGCTGATCCCCAGGGCGAAAAGAAGCGCACCGTTGAAGAACGCGCCGAGTAGCTGGGCTCGCTGCCATCCGAAGGATAAGGATTTGGGTGCATCGTTTGTCTCGGACACCTATGCTCAGGGGGATCGGAGTCCACACATTAGTCGTTTGGGTAGTCTTTGGGAAGACTCAAGGCATCCTACCCGGAGAGCCACCAATGCTACGATGAAGCCGATCAGGTCATTTAGCTGGATGCTGATTAGCAACGCCTCCACGCAGTTCCTCCGTGGGCATGAATCCGTACATAGTGGAAGGCATCAGCGACCAAAGCCAAAGAATGCGTATAAAATCCGACTACGAGACAATCTCAGCGACTATCCTTCCCTCAGACGACTGAGCCTGAGACAACAGGGGGCAAACACTGGGGAACGCGAGGAAAGGGAAGAGGCAGAAGAACAAGGCGTGTTTACTGGAAATCTCCGCCACGAAGAAAACCGTGGAAATCCCAATCACGGCGGACAAACGCTGTGAGCGCGTGATTTTGAAGCCCATCGTTCCGCTCCTTTTCGTGCAGTTCGATGTTGACGGTGGAAAGCAAAGGGGGGAACATTCGAATCGAATCGATCTCAATTCCAAACGCGACCAAGGAAGAGTCGGAGAGTTTCACCCCCTTGCGTGGAAATGGCCCCTGGAATGTATGATGCCCTCTCAACGGGCTGAAGGGGGAAGATGAAAAGAGGCAGAGAAGAGAGTACGCCTGTCTTTCGATCCCGACGGGGGTGAAACAATTCCGCAGTGAATTGGCAAATGGATCGACATGAGGTGGAACATGGCCATTATCGGACAACTGTCATGCAGAAAGTGACCGGATCCCTGGATGGCTCCCAAAATAGAATGTGTGCATACAATCACCAGGCTGCGATTGCTACTGGCTTGGCCCTGATGAAGTCCAGTCTCGTGTTGCCAACCCGAGGGACTTGGGAGAATTTTAAATGCAGCCGAGCGGGAAAGTGTCAATGAGCAGTCGCCGTCCTCCGTACGGATCTTGATTTCCCCTTCATCTTCTTGCTCTTTGCAAAGTTACAGCAGCTCCGTCAGGCCCTGACTAGCCGTCCAGTGGCGTCGTGATCGAATCGGTCTGTATACCAAGTAGGGCTGGGGATCACGTACCGAATTTTAAAACCGGGGGACCGTTCCACTGGTTGGACGTCGTAACGGACATGCATCCCTCGGGATGAGCCACACACGTCTTGCTGAGGAACGCGTTATGACGTGCCTTCATACCATGGCGTGGATATCTTCAATATGTTCATACTCATGGCCTTGCAAAGTGCCACACATCTATCTACGTCGATATGTACATTCCACGTGCAAAGGAGACAGAGAGAAAGAAGGAAAGTAAATCGAATGGTATACAACACCCAAGTCTATTGCGATGAAATGGCAGGAACGTAGGACCAATGTGGAACCTTCATCACATATTATCCTCACTCCAATGACTTCTCGCTTTTATCCATGCGTCGTGCTCGCTTTTCCCCTGCTCAGCATCCATCCCGACCCCCAATCCCCGCTCCACCCATTGCTTGCTGCCCATCTCGGAGAGACGCGAGAGGGCCCGAGCAAACGCAAAGCGCTCCTCGTCCCCGCTGAAGATGGAGGTGGACTTGAGGGCTTGCATGGAGAGGCCAAGGTCGTCCATCATCATACGCATCGCGTCGGAGAGATCGCTGCCTTCGCCTCCTTGGAGAGAGCTCTTCACTTCCGCCTCGGAGAGGAAGAGGTTGGTCAAAGGCACTTCCGTGGTCAGGACTAGTTTGGCCTACAGGGGATTAGTCGAGTTCTTCTCTGTGCGGGGTGAGTGCTTACCCTGCTTTCATAGACGGCATCAATGAAAGTAATGAACCGACGCGCAAGATCTCGCTGATTCAAGTTCATTCCGGGGACGTCCGTGATGATGAAGGCGTCATAGTTCCGGACCAACTCCAGGTAGTCCGCAGCTCCTGTCGCTCGACCGATCAACTGCTGAAAGCTAAACTGAGCGGCTCTGCCACTGGCCAGGGGAACCTCGATCTTGCGGCCCCAGACCTCCTGCACTGCTGGGTGTGGGGGATCTTTGGGATCACCCAGGAACTCGAACCATTTCTGGGCGTGTTGATCAGCATCCAAGCCCAGTGGGTGGTGGTAGACGCCGGAAGGCGGTCGAGGGATTTTGCGGTAGTCTGTGGGAGAGTCCAAGTTGATCACGTCCAGAGCGGTCTTCAGGAGGTTGATGCACGGGATGAACGACTCCCGCTGGATGCCGTTCTTGTACAGATCGTCGGGGTGTCTGTTGGAGGTGGTGATGAGCACGACCCCATGGGACATGAGGGACTCCAGAAGCCTCCGCAGGATCATAGCATCCGCAACATCCGTGCACTGGAACTCATCGAAACACAGCACGCTCGATTTCTCGGCAATGGCCGCTGCTACCAAAGGCAACGCATCAAAATCATTGCCGTACCGCATTTTGACCACATGCATGCGCCTGTGTACGTCTTGCATGAAGTTGTGGAAATGGATCCGAGACCTGGACACGATGTTCGACGGCAAGGTATCGTAAAACAAATCCATGAGCATGGTTTTCCCACACCCGACATCTCCGTACATATATAGACCTTTCGGGAGGCTCTTGGGGATGGTCAACTCTTCGTTCGCCTTGCCACGTCCGAACAAAGAGCCCAGGAACGACGTTCTCGGCTGAGGATCCAAGGTTTCGGGATTCGGATGGATGACGGTCGGAGGGTGGTAGCTTCGCAGCCTTTCGTGAAGGTCTTGTAGCCTCTCAATGATCTCTGCGCGTCATGCCATCGTCAGCATTCACCATGTCCCTTGGGGTTGATCGTCGACAGTGAAGAAAAGGGTAGGACGTACGTCTCTGGTATGGGTCATCCCGTAGGCGACCCTGCTGCACCCGCGAATCATATTCCCTTAAAGGACCACCCTGTAGCTCAGACGCAACATCCGACCTAACCTTGTTCGCCGCTGCTGTCGCGTACCGTCGCATATACTCATGACGAGGCTCACGGGTTTTCAAGCCGTGGGTTGGATGAACGATTGTCGGGGTTGGTGTCCGGGAACGGCCCACACTGGCATGTGACCGATGTGCACCTCGTCTGCATTGTCTGCCATAGGCCAGCCTCGTACCTCGAGGCAGTATCGTCACCCTTCGAGACCCCAGCGTGGCTGGAATGTACTCCACGCAGAGCCTCGCCGCCGGCCCGCTCACTGGCATCGATGCGGTATCTCCAACAGTTCCTTGAACTTTTGTGTTCCTTCCTTTCGGTTTTGAAGTTCTCCTGACTCGTCGAGAGTTCTTGCGCACTAGGATCCACGCATGTAGGGGTGTATCGTTTGCCGCGCAACAGGATTTGTCTTGAAGCCGAGGTTACTGATCGCGAATCGGAATGACGGAGGAAAATCACGGCGGCGGGTGAAGGGTGGGGAACACCTGACTGAAAGTAGTCAGTCGTTCAACTTCAGTGCGATTGCACATATCAAACTCGGGACAGGGCCAAGATAGTAAGCTTACCGATTGTGAAGGGAGCAGAGAAGCGTCCACGACAACTTGTATAATCAAGTCCTGGCGTGAGTTTGGATCGGAAGAAGTTCTCCCGTTTTGGACACCACCGCCTTCCGTTCTGAGTCTTCTGAATGCCTTACGTCCCAGGCTCCACTATTTTCCAAATCCGGGATCACCAGCCACAATATCCGCACCGCCTCACGGCACTTTGGATCCGTGCAGCGTTCGCCAGCACAACTCAAAGATGTCTCGTAGGAGGATTCCTCTGTTGAAGGTAACCAACCAATGGCTGTTTCTCTTGGGAGATGTGATCGCAGAACTGTAGAATGCGAGGAAGCTTAGAGATGCTTCGATTTCCTAACATTTCTGGAGTGGCTAAACTCGTTCTTTGATTGCTGTGGGCCCAGTTGAAAATCGGACGTACTATGCTTCTGGCATAGTGAGTGCAAGGTGGGCCATCTGGAGACGCAATTCCTGTCTGTGCCTGTCGATTCTCGGAGCCGTTGTCATTGAATCGAGCTACCTGGAAGAAAATGTTCCTTGTTATACTCACACATGTTACCTCCTTCGATGTCTGAAACCATTGACCAGGTCTCTTCGCTCCAGGTAAGGAAGCCCATAACCAGCGAGGCAAGGGTCTATCTGTCTACTTCTTGCGTTGGACTGGGCTCCCTCGATTGTGTGATCTTTGGAGAAGTGCTCAAAGAAAAGAATGGCACTCTGGAACGTCATTCTATCCAAACAGGCAAACTAAACCACACCCTACGGTTTCCAATATCATAGTGGGATCCAAGATCGTACAAAGGGAATGCAATCGGGGCAATGATGTCCTCCATCTATAGTCGACATCTCCAAAGCGTACGTGCTCAATAGTGGCCACGGATATCGAACGCTGATCTCGACGCCTCTTCCTGTCTTATAGAACACTCATAATACGTTGGCTGTATATCTGTAGTTGTGACCACTCTATCTTAGAGTTGCTCTTTAGGGAGATCATGAGATGGCTCGTACGTTTATCGAAGTGTTCATCGTGTCCCTTGTACGTCACTCAGTTCCGTCAGTGATATGCTATTGGTGTCTTGCATTGTATCGCTTTGACCAACAAGACTCATGGATGGAGACGTCCTAATACAAACCCTGGAATACATTCGATGAATGATAGTTCGGCTTACAGCTGCTCGCGAGTCTTCCGATCTGGTGCAGAAACACGTGTGGCGGCACGGTTTTCGTGGTGATCCTATGGATCTCCACAAATCCTGCTATTTTTATCGGTTCTGGTGGCCTTTTGCCCTGATGGTCCTGATGACAGCCGTGGAAAAAGCATTGAAATCATAAGGGAGCCTCATCTGCTGCGGATCTCCCTGTTCCTTATTTGGTGAACCTTCTCCTCACCCGATTTATCGGCCATGCTCTCTTTGTTACTAGTAGTCAAACCATGGATCGATCTCCGTATTACAGCGATTCTTCCTTATCACGCAGTCAAAAGTGCAGTATCACCGCATGTGTCGGAAGGGGCAAGAGGAGTAGATACACACTTATCAAGCCAGGTGGCTCACTTAGAGTCACTCCCTACCACCAGCACATCTACTTCATCTGTGAGCCTGCCCATGCTAGGAAACAAAGTGGTATGTTAGAACATCCCAGCTTGGTTGAAGGCCTCACGCCAGATGCCTTGACTCTTATACGAATGCTTTGGCGTCTATGACATGGCTATAGCCATGGTCACCGGTGAAATATCTTAATCCTTGTATGCGTCGGGAAGAGCGCTGATAGCCTTGGACAACAGCAAATATCCACCTTATAGGGGTGAGTGTGGGCTTGCTGTGCTGTTCTCCAGATTCTTCCCTGAGCCCTTCAATTGTACTGTGTTCTACTTTCGTTTTCGCCAAGGATGTGATGCCAAGTCACAGCGCCACGATCACGCTTTGTTTCCTGTACCCTGTTCATAACCATGGTTGATGGTGGTGGAGGGTATTGTCGGCAACATTTGAACTGCCATGACCCTTCAACCCATCCTTGGCTACCATTTCCTCCTGGTGGAACTCCTGGGGTAGGCACCTACAACGTCTTCACAGTGACTCGAAATCCGATGACTATGTTCGATGAAGGCCAAGCCATTGTGCCTCAAATCACTACGTGAAAGTGGTCAATCCCAACTTGGAGATCAATGAGTTCTCAGCAGCATTACTTAACAAAATTCGATCAACATCGAGATTAGATTCCCCGGAACCGCTGAAGACACGCCACCGAAATAGCGGTGGTCTTCCCATTCGAGAGATACGTAAAGCCCATCACTCGCGTGACCTGCCAGGCGTCAGCAAGCTCGCTCGGTCCCTGACTGTTCATCAGATGTACACACCTTCCGTTATGATTTGAAGCGAACTTTCAATCTTTACAACGGTGTATATCATCTCCACCGGATTAAACCTCGTTCTTTGGGTTGCCATAGTCCTGGTCATGGTCACCTCCCCCCATCGTCTGAGAAATACCTCTGTAACCAGATAAGTAGGACAAGGTGCCATATATCGTTCCAGACAGACACACTAACAGAGCCGATACACAAGCAGACTGTTTCGTGCTGGGTGGCGTAAAGAGTAAGGATCTGTCGAAACGCCCATTTGAAGTACTTTATGTATCCCACCCAGGTTCTCACGTTGGATCTCGGTAGCGCAGGGGACTCTTCGCAAAGGGAGCGGTGGAATGCGCTGAAGTGGGGTATGCGCTGTCAAGCCAATTGAGGTTAAACGGCATTATAGAGGCAATAGTGTTTCAGGCATTCAAGACTTCGGCGGGCTTAAAACCGACTTCGCCCCAGTACAAACGTCAGCAAACTGCTCTTTATTTTGCGCTCTTTAGGCTTGCCTACTGCTAAGACTTTGGGCCTATTATCACAAGAAGCATGACTTCTCAGAAAAGGCCGGCCAGCCTATCATCAGAGGAAACCTACTTTGATGATCCGTCTGATGAAAAGGTGGATAGTGAATGGGAAAAGATAAAACAAGACCCAGCCAAGCGAGTTGCATTTGAAAGAAGGTGTATTGAACATGAGCTTACAAATGAGAAACGGGTGATCATATTGCAAGACAACCCTAGCACCAGAAGCCACTGTCGCTTCTGGGAATGCATTCCTACTAAGTTAAATGGGGAACCTAATATCAGGTCTGCATTTCGCTTTAATGTCAAGGACCTTTCTGGTCGTTCCTACGGTATGTTTCAACGATCTGCAAAAACCCTATTCCAAATATCACAAAGCTTAGAACCGAACAAGTACTACCATGTATCTTGCATTGAGCAGATATTTCCCGACCTAGCTGCCCTAATAGAGCACCGGTATTTGCGAATGGACGGAGGAGTAACCCAGATGACCTCAGCCAGCTGGCAAATATCCCGCTTCCACAACGCCATTGAAGATTAGTTCCGCTACAAAGGCTGTTCCTTCAACGTGAAAACATACGATCGTTTTGAAAGGAAATATGCCAAGTGGAACCGGAAATCAAGCACGTCAGAGGTTAACCATCAGCTCGAAGCTCATGGGGCAGCTCTCGGAATTGTGAGAAGTGTGGAAGCATACCGGATGAACCGCTGAGAAAGGACTATTTTCCTGAAGAGCCTCAAAATTATCTGCTAAGTGAGGTCCTTGCATCTGTAATTGGCGTGCAACATTTGGATGGAGTACCTGTAGATAGATATTCGAACCTTCGGCGTATTAAAGAGGTTCGATGCAGCTAGAGCAGGTTTCTATTGCTTTTTATTTTTATTTTTTGGGTGGCATACGGCATCGTATATTTCTGATTTTGACCTGGCACGAATGGGGATCAGAGATGCCACAACGGCTTCATTTGCTTGTACAAAGGCGCTTTTTTTGAACCGTAATCACATGTTGCGCTAATCCCGATATGGTCATATGGTATGATACCCTTCCTTTTACCCTTGAGACTAGAATTCAGATATGCCCTCACTAATGGTAACTTGACTGCCCTATACTCTCTTAATCAAGCGCTGGAATGTGCCAATACATGCTACAAAAGAAAGAGATACATTATTAGCTAATCCATGAAGGCGCGGCCGTTACAATAGTATAGACAGTCGGTCTCACAGGAGTCTCGGAAAGTTCTATAAATCTACGAACATCATCTGGAAATCGGCGTGCGAAATTCGAGCAAGGTGCTTTGCATGGGTAAAAAGCTCATAAGTCGCATATAACAAGAGGTGTGATGATAATAGTTATACTTCCATGATGAAAAAGTCGGCGAGAGGCTGTCGAGCCTGTGTATCAGCGACTAGCAGAAAGTTGGTTGAGGCATACATTGCTGCGGAAGGTGCAAATCCGTCCAGGTAATCCCTTATATCCTTGCCAATGACCGTATTAGCCAAGGATTTGGCAGCCTACAATCTATTATTTACAGAATGAATATCAGTACTAATTGACCTTCTTTAAAAGGTCCTTTAGCTGCCTCATGAGAAGTCTTCCTTTTAACTTGAAGCTTAGCTTTGGATCCTGTTCTGCTAGTGACTCATCTGACAATACAGTGGACATGATATTGTTTTTGGATATTGCTTGTTAAGTCGCAGACGCCTGTCTTATTTTGGATTCCTTTATTAGATCCTTGTAGAAAGCAGCAAGGGTCCTCTCTGATAACAGTCGATCAGGATAGTCTTCTGCGAGCATTTCCGATTATATTGCAATAATATGTTCTAGCAGTTTAGCCACCTCCTTGATCTGTCCATTCGCTTGATATATTAAAGCGAGCTTAGTGTTACGCCCGGGGTTTCGTCGTCAAGTCTGTGACTAGTTAGCGGACCACGTTTCAAGGGTGAGATTCGTGCCACAGTCTAGTCACTAACAGTACATAATTCAAAATACCATGATCAACCAGAATTGAAGTTATAGTTTTACTATGACTAACAACATATCCGTCTCAGCCAGTTGATGGGACCTTGGGAGGTCGGTCATCTTGAGCAACTGGGGTTGTTGCTTGGGTGCTGTTGATACACATCACTTCCTCTGTTTGCTTTTTACATATACGTATTCTCGAGACTATGATTGGCTTTTGAACCGCGACAGCCTCACAGCAACACGTATCAGATGACCCCTCAACTCCCAACTTTGATCTTTAACATGCCCTGAAAAATTTTATCCTGCAGTTCTAATATCTATTGTAGGAAATACTCTTTTTCTCTAGCAAAGACTACATGATATCTTCGCGCTATATTTCACCTCTTTATTGTACATGACATATAAAATGGTCTTCACACGTGATGACTATACGGTCGCATGGATCTGCGCCTTGCCGCTGGAAATGGCGGCCGCGAAGGCCATGCTGGACAAGGTTCATCCTCCGCTCCCCCAGCCAAAAACCGACCACAATGTTTACACACTTGGGAGGGTTAGCAGCCACAATGTAGTGGTGGCCCCCCTACCATCCGGTGTCTACGGAACGATATCTGCTTCCACTGTGGTATCACACATGGTTTCTACCTATCCAAATATCCGATTTGGGTTGATGGTGGGTATTGGTGGTGGAGTCCCAAGTGAAAGTGCTGATATTCGCCTTGGTGATATTGTGATCAGTAAGCCAACTGCCACTTCAACTGGTGTTATTCAATATGACTACGGCAAGACACTTCGTGACGGACGATTCCAGCACACGGGGTCGCTCAACAAACCTCCTCCAGTGTTGCTGAAGGCTATGTCTCAATTAGAGAGTGATTCTACGATAGGAAAAAGGCTGATTAGCGATAGCTTATTTGATGTACTGAGCAAACGTGAAGGGATGAAAGAGCAGTTTTCGCGGCCAAAAGACGATTGGCTATTCCGACCGACATACAGTCATGAGAATAGCGAAAACGACTGTTCAGCATGTGATAGGACCCAGCTAGTGAACCGTCCGGAGCGGAGAACTGAAGACCCTTATTTTCATTATGGCTTAATTGCTTCCGGAGACCAGGTCATGAAGGATGCCAAAGCTCGAGATTCTATTGCTCGGGATCTAGACATACTCTGTTTTGAAATGGAGGCTGCTGGGCTTATGGACGAACTCCCATCACTTGCCATTCGAGGCATCTGTGACTACTGTGATTCCCACAAGAATAAACAGTGGCAAGGATATGCGGCCCTTGCTGCTGCTGCCTACGCGAAGGCTCTTTTATCAGTGGTTCCCACTTACTGCTACGAGAAGGAATCATATAAATCAAGGCAGCCAGTTTGGGTGGTACCCTTCGGAAGAAACCCGCGATTCGTAGGTCGGGAAAAAGAAATTACCAGAACCGAGGAATTGATTGTGCAACAGGACGGACCTGGCAAAGTTGCTATCTGCGGATTAGGTGGAGTTGGAAAGACCCAGATTGCACTTGAACTGGTATACCGCATGCGAAAACGAGACCCTGAGTGCTCGATATTCTGGATTCAATGTACCAGCTATGAGAGTGTGGAACAAGCCTACATGATCATCGCCTCAAAGCTAGGAATAACTGACATAAAGCCGGCAGAGGTAAAAGAAAAGGTCAAGGCCTATCTCAGCCAGGAGAGTGCCGGGAAGTGGCTTCTTCTTTTTGATAATGCAGATGATATGGAGATGTGGAGCCAGGACAACACTAATAATCCAGTACTGGCAGACTTTCTTCCTCGAAGTGAGCAGGGCCATATTCTCTTCACCACACGCAGCCGGAAGGTAGCTGTGAAACTAGTGTCTTCTCATGTAATAACGATCTCTGAGCCGGATACAGAGACTGCTCTGGAAATTTTACAAAACTCACTGGTTGAAAAAACTTTACTTAATGATCATGATACGGCTATTACTCTTCTTGAGCAGCTGGCCTTTCTCCCGTTGGCGATCACCCAGGCGGCAGCATATATCAATGAAAACAGCATTGGCCTCTCTGACTATATGATACTTTTACAAGACCAGGAGCCAGATGTGATTGAATTGCTGAGTGAAGACTTTGGGGACGAAAGGCGATACAAAGACACCCAGAATCCTGTTGCGTTAACCTGGTTCATCTCCTTTCAGCAAATTCAGCGATCAAATGAACTCGCGGCAGACTATCTTTCATTCATGGCCTGCATCAGCCCTCGCGGTATTCCGCAGTCCTTACTTCCCCAGCCAATCTCAACTAAGAGGAGAATTGATGCCATCGGCCTCCTCAAGGCCTTCTCCTTTATTAGTGAGGATGGCGGGGACCATTTTCTAAATATACACAGACTAGTCCATTTTGCGACTCGGAACTGGATGAGAAAGAGCCAACAGTTTAGCCGGCATATATTGAAAGCTGCAGACCGATTGAGCGAAGCTTTCCCGAACAATGACCATGCTAATCGGAAGCTGTGGCGGGAGTATCTGCCGCATGCATTTTCGCTATTAGCAGAAGCTGACTTCCAGAAGGAGCAGGAGAGATATATTAAGTTGATTGTGAATATTGGGAACTGTCTATATAGTGACGGCAGATGGAAGGAGGCAGCAGAGCTGGAAGTACAGGTGATGGAGCTCTGCAAGCAAGTGCTGGGGCCAGAGCATCCAGATACTCTGACCAGCATGGCTAATCTGGCATTAATATACCGGAACCAGGGACGATGGAAGGAAGCAGAAGAGCTGCAGCTACAGGAGATAGAGCTCTGCAAAAAAATACTGGGGTTAGAATATCCACACACTCTGACCAGCATGCATAATCTGGCATCAATATACCGGGATCAGGGGCGATGGAAGGAAGCAGAAGAGCTGCAGCTA